CAGACTGGAGAACAGTGGAGGGAAATGAAAGATAAACCTTACCCTCAAATCCTCCCTCCCTCCCAGTGCTTTAATAGGCATGACCACTGGCAGTCTGATTGTAACAGGAACTCTAACTGAGAACAGAACTGTCAATTACTAAAACGAATAACCCCTCTGTTCTCCACCATGAGATTTTACATACAAGATTCAAGGATTTTTTTCCCTATTTTTTTTAGCACAGTTGTCCGATGCTATTCACTGCAGCATGCAGGCGCTCATGAGAAACTTCACTGCACTCCTATTATAATAACTGAAAGCTGACTTCTAGCCTAATCAGTACTACTTAATCTGACTGGCAGAGGCTCTCTATGGTTTTAAATGGAAGAAAACAGCAGCACAGTCCATTTTGAACTGGAGACTAAACCTGACACTTTTTCATATAAAACATGCGCTCCAAGTGAGCTATGGCTTATTGTTCCATATACTGTTCCCCTTGTTCAAAGACCATATACTATTGGTACAGGAAACACTGTTACAGAGGACTAAAGTTATTAAGCAGCCAAGCTCTGAACCCAAAGTTATTAGAATGAAATCCTCCATTATCTCTCCGCATATGGCTATAGTAAAGGCGGCTATGGAGATCTTTGAAGGGGTGTTTACTTCAACAAAGATTTTGAGTGAGACACTGTTTTGAGGTGCCTCTATGAATTCCTGCAGTGTCCCACTTCTAGCTGGTACAGCAGCCACGGGCTTTGCTTGTCACCCTCATCTCAGTATCTTATTGAGATTGATCAACCATGATCTATACAGGCCTAACAGGAAACCTTCATAGTTCAGTAAATGAAAAGAGGTGGCAAACATCACAGTTAAATGAGACCCTTGAGATCACACTGGCCACTTTTCAGTAGTTATGATATCAAGAAACATTTTCTTCTGGAAATAAGATTTATTTTTAAATTCAGAAAGGCAGAAAAAACCCTATCTGTTCCCTTGATCAGCTCCCAAGCCATTGCTGCCACTGCAGCACCATTAATGCCAGTGTGGCATAATCCAGGTTTGATGGGCTGATTTTGGTATACCCTGGCTCCCTTACCTTGGATTATGTCTTTATCCATACAGGAACAGCAAGCAGGCAAAATACGTTGCAAGTAGGCTCACCAATCAAAGGAAACAGAAAGCAGCCATTTTTGGAAATCAGAGATGGATATTAACTTATAGTTTTGAGAAAAAGCATCCCTTATCTCAGTGTTTTTCAAACCTGCCAACTTTAAGATGTGTGGACTTCAACTCCCAGAATTCCCCAGGCAGCAGGATTGAAGAAGGATTCACAACAAATGTTCTTCTAATCAAAGCTGAGCTTTTCAGCCAGATCCACCAGGCTGGCCAAGCACTGCTGCTGAAAGCACACTAGGTTTTTAAATACACGGCCCTTAGTAAAACCCTAAGACCACTTCTAAGAGACCCAGTCAGCTTCCTATTACAAAAAGCCAAAAATATTTGCTCTCACAAATGATGTTACAGTTGGCATGCTAAGTGTTGATTTGATGGTATAAGGCAAATTTTAGAATGAGATGGTTTACCCTCTTGGCATCAGGGAGACTGAATCAAACTAACTTTAGTAATTCCAATTAATTGTTCAGTAGATCAAGTCTGAAGCTTCTGAGGGCAAACAAAGGCAGCATTGACTATGATGGAAGCACCACTTCTGTTCATACTGTCCTTCCTCTGATTAGAACTGCCATTCCCAAGATCCTTTCTAAAGCCTTTGAATGGAGAATATTTAATAGAAGGGAAAGAACGTAAGGGCCTTTGGCAGCTCTCCTCCAATAACTAGAATGTAAGAACAGCAAATCCACTGCAGATAAACCCAGGAAATACCAAGAGTTGTGCTCTTCCTCCAGTGCCTTTGAATGCTTCTTTAAGAAATAACATTTGTTGTTTTCTTGGTAGGAATAGAGTAAAGCCTCTCAAGCTTTTCATTCCTATGCAGGGACACCAGTAAAGTATGACTGCATGGCATTGCTTCACTTCACAGAGCTGTCTGGACTCCAACTGCTAGAGCCAACTGGGATTGTGCCAAAGGAAAGCATGGTGCCCCACCATGATGCTGCCAATTGACACGTTGAGGTGGACTGCTTAGCTTTGATGGGAATGCCTTCTTTGCACATGTACATAGAATACTATCAAACTCCAATGAAACAGCTGTCCTGTCTGGCAAGTCTCTAGTGACCACCTAGACACTTCACGTTGTAAAGTTGTGCCAAAGAACACTGACAAAATCTGTTCTCTGTTTACAAAACACTTGCAATCATACTTGCTCATCTGCTGTTACAATTTGTTATTGAATTATACCCAAGAAGGTGACAGCATAGCAATATTCTGTGATTTACTGCCCAGTTGCCAATGTCATGTGCAAAGCACATCTTTTAATTTGCACACATCATACAAAAGAAGGTTTGAGAAGAATAGCCTGCAAAATCTATTGCAGTTTCAAATCAAATTACACAAACACTTTGCTGCAAAAATCAAGAAACAAATGCAGAAGAGTTAACCTGGCAGCTGAAGATTAATTTGATAGTGCCATCAAATCAGCATCAACTCTTAGCAATCAGACAGATAAGATTTTCTCCAGGACATACTGTCCCCAATCTAGTTCTTCGGGTCTCCTAATGGCGCACCCACTGCCACTGTAATTGAGCCCATCTATCTTGCTGCTTCTCATCATCTTCTTCTTCTCCTCTTTTTTCCCACCTTTCCCAGGATTATAGCCTTGTCTAGAGAATTAGTCTTTGCATAATGTGCATGAAGTATGATAATCTGAGCCTGGTCAGTGGTGCCTTGAGCAAGACTCTGGGTTCATTCATTTGATTATTCATTTGTTTGTTTTCTTGGTTATCCACAGTATTCTCAGGAGTCTTCTCTAACACCAAAGTGCAAATGTGTCAATGCTCTTTCTATCCTGGTTCTCCAAAATCCAACTTTTGCTCCCGTGCAGTGTCACAGGGAAAACAATTGCCTGCACAATTCTGATCTCTGTAGGTACAGATACATCACACATCTCAATATATTTTCCAAGACCTTCACTATTACTCTACCACATGCTAGACTGCAGTATATTTCTTGACTGGTTGTTCCTTTACTGTTTACTTGGTTGATCCTAAAAGGCAGAAATTTTCTACCACTTCAGTATCTTCATTGTCAATTCTAAGGCTGGTTGCCGTACCTGCTGTCATTACTTTGGTCTTCTTTATATATAATCTTAGCCCCATTTTTTCACTGTTCTTGACTTTTATTACTAGAGCTTACAGATCATTTGCATTTCCAGCTATCAAAGTTTCATCATCATAGCACAGGTTATTGATATTTCTTCCTCCAATTTTAAAACCATGTTCATTTTCTTCCAATGTAGCTTCCCATAATGTATGTTCCACATGTAGGTTGAATAAATAAGGGGACAGTATCTAGCCTTAGGAAGCCTTTGCCTTCCTGGAGCCATTCTGTTTTGCCATGTTCCGTTTGAACTGTGGCTTCCTAATCTGTGTATAGGTTTCACATAAGGACAATATGTTCTGGAATTCCAATTTTTCTAAATACATTCCACAGAGTGACATGACTGTCAGAATTGAAGGCCTATCTATAATTAATGAACCACATACAGGCTTGTTTTTCATATTCTTTGGCTTTCTCAATTATTCAGCATGAATCAGTAATAATGTCTCTTGTTCCCTGGCATCTTTTAAAGCTGTCTGAACATCTGGCATCTCCCTTTCCATATAGGGCTGTAATCTGTGCTGGATGATCTGGAGCATTATTTTGCTAGCGTGTGAAATTAAAGATACTGTATAATTCGGACACTCTGTAAAATCTCCTTTTCTTTAGTACTGGTAGTAGACTGACCACTTTCAATATGTTGGCCACTGTGCTGTTCTCCAGATTTGATGGCATAGACTGGTTAGAACTGATTCTTCTTCTGTTGCTTGCCATATTTCTGTAGATTCCTGTAGCCTTCCAACTTGGCACGGGTGTGGCACTGTTTTCTGCAACAGAAAGCCTTTGGATACATATGATGGCTTCCTCATGAACTGGAACTCTATTTGCTGCTTCTCAAATAGAATCTAGAATTATACAGTTGGAAGGGCTCTCAAAAGTCATTTAATCCAACCTTGTGATCAATGCAAGATCCACTAAAGCATTTCTGAAATGCTGAATTCTACATTGTCTGAACAGGACCTATGTTAACCAGAGATATGAAAGAACTTCATGTACCTGCATGAAACTATGTTCCTCTTAACTTTGCAAAAATACCCTAGAAACTAGGGTTAACTATACCAACTTGGGAAATTCTTGGAAAATAAGGGTTTTATAACAAGCTGGGACAACAATCCTTATTTAAAGCATGGTTTCATAGTCTGGCATTTTTGAGTTTCCAGGATCAGATACAACTACAAGCTGTAATTTCTTGGCTTACTTTGCCACTCAGCTGAGAGGACAAGAAAAGTATCTGTGTTTAGCTGCATGAAGGTAGTTCATCCCTAAGGGGAAGAAAATGATGGCACTTTGCAAGTTTAGAAAAGGGAATTATGATTGCAGGATAGGAAAACATTAAGAATCAAAAAGGAGTGAAAAAAAGAGTAGGCTGACAATCCTACTTAAGAAAATGAATAAGCCATCTGTATAATCTGCCACACAACTTAAAAGTGGCTGTGACCATTGGTAAGTAACTAAGGAAAAACAGTTCTCTGAATTCAGCTTAGAACATCTCTGACTTGGATCTTCATCAGATATGCACCCAGTTCAACTGTCTTGAATTGGGTTCTGCTGAAACTGTATCCCTATTGGATGTGTTCTTGTCTCTACAGGTACCTTTACCTACTAAGGAAAGGAAGAACAAGTCAAAGGGATACTGATTTCCGAAACACATATGGAACTTCAAATACTTATAAAAATTAGCTACTGTCATTTCAATATTTTTAAATTTGGAAAACTGGAGACAAGAAAGAACATGTATAACATAGTACCTGGCAGGAGCTGTTGGATAAATGACTTTTATATGTCGGAAAGACAAATCTTGCTTCAAAACTTGCTTGATCCAGTCTCTTACACCTTGACCAGTATCACCTGAATAATACAGAAAGATAGCAACTGAATTAGACATCTATACAATGCACAACATGAGCTGTCTTATGAACCTCAGCATTCATCTTGTCCACACAACTCTCTCTTCCCGAACTTCACTTTAGAAAAGGTTTGCTGTTTGCTTATAGAAACTGAGCCTAATGTGCAACTGGTTTTCAAAAGTCAACAATAAATACACCCACCTCTGCTAAGAAAGCCAGTCTGACCCCTTCATCAGACTAACTTCCAGAAAACTCAACTAGAGCATTCAACACTTACAGCCCCCAGAGTTCAGTAGGATTTACTTCAGGCAAGGGAAGATAGGATTTCAACCAAAGATTCACCACTGTAAATAAGGCCACAAAAACTAGTTAATAGCCTTAATTAATTTTCCTAACTCCTTTGGATCTGAATAGAGAACACCACCTCTTGTGCTACTACCTGCTGGGTTTTGATGCTAGGCATCGAGGAATGGCAGCCACACTGAATAGATGCCTTTTTTTTTTTTTTTTTACTGTCTGATACACATAAAGAAGAGGCAAGGCTTCAATTGTACAGTCACAGCTGCCATCTTGAAATTTATTTATCAAATCTGTCACTGCCCATCTCGTTAAAAAACAACTCTGGGTGGTTTACAGAAAATATAAATATTAATTAAAAATACAATAAAAGTCATTCTAAATAATTTTTTTATAATTTATCTCCCCTGCAGATGCCCCTGCCCTACTCAGTGCAAGAATCCAAATTATAGAGTCCCTGTCAGCTCTCTTGCCTCTGCTTGAATGCATCCAATGAAGGAGAATACACTACCTCCCTGATAGCTGGTTGGTTCCCCAACCAAGCTGCTCTTACTGTTTGGAATGTCTCCCTTAATGTTTAACTGGAATTTGCTTACCTGCAACTTAAGACCATAATTCCATGATTTGCACTCTGGAGTGACAGACAACTGATCTTGGCATTCTACTATGTGAGAGATTTTTGAAGACTGCTTTTAGTATATTTCAATTCCCAGTTATCTTTTCTTAAGACTAAACATATCAAGCTCTGGAGTCCTTGGAGTTCTCTGAGCTTGGTTGGTTTCTTGCAAACGTTTTGTTACCCGGCTAGGTAACATCTTCAGTGCTAGAATGGAATGGGGTTTGCTCTCTGTAGCACTGAAGATGTTACCTAGTTATCTTTTCTTAAGACTAAACATATCAAGCTCTGGAGTCCTTGGAGTTCTCTGAGCTTGGTTGGTTTCTTGCAAACGTTTTGTTACCCGGCTAGGTAACATCTTCAGTGCTAGAATGGAATGGGGTTTGCTCTCTGTAGCACTGAAGATGTTACCTACCCGGGTAACAAAACATTTGCAAGAAAACAACCAAGCTCAGAGAACTCCAAGGACTCCACAGTACAACCCTGAGTTACACATATTCTCTTCTATTGATATCAAGTTCTCTCAGTCTCTCCTCATAGGAATTGGATTTCTAGTCCCATGGTCATCTTTATTGCTCTTTTCTGACACCATTCCAGTTTCTCTGAACCTTTCTTAATGTGTGATACATAGAACTAGACCAGTTAGGGTTTAATGAATATATGATGAACTACAACTTCTCATAATTTGGACCTTCTGCTTTGGTTGACACAGTTCTAAAACAGTGAAGCCTTAAAACTGTGCCTAATTTAAAAATTATGCCAGTCTACAAACTGTTGACCTCAACTATGATAGGTCTGGCTGTTAAAGGAAAAAGAAACTATTGATACTGCTTTTTACTGTAAAAGGGAAAACCTGGATGAATATTCCAATACTTGAGTAGCAAACACAAACCTTAAACAGTTCTCCAAATCGTTAGGAATGAAAGGAGGAACAATTCCATATTGTTATCAGTGAAGACTTGATCACTTCCCAATAGGGGCTTATAGCATATGCCAATCAGGGAGCTTTCTTCAACATAGCAGAGTGTCAGCTGTGGGGAATGTCAACTGCCAAGAGTCTCCTTGATTGTGATGAGCATAATTTAAATCAATCAATTTTTCCAAGCAACAAGCATTGCTATTTGTACAGCTTAACACTAGTGCTACTTATTTTCAGCTACTCTGCTATGTGGAGAAATGTTTAATGTGAATTAAGGTTGTTTACCCTGGGGCTACCACTATTTGCAAGATTGTAACAATTTGTAAAAGGAAAGCCACAAATATGGGAGCATCTGTACAGCTGCCTATGCAAATAGGAGGCTCATATGACTTTTGTTGTTGCATACGTTAATCAATATGATGCAGAAGCACATTGGAAAAACAAAAGGTGCGCATCTGTGTGAACAGGACCAGACACAAAAACACTATTTGGAAATCACAAAACCCCTGCAGCATGTTGTACATGTCTGAACCGGGCTTCCACTGCCCTAGGTGTAAGGGAAAGGCAATAACCTGATATTAGATTTGCACTGGATTTAACAATGAGCAACTGCAGTTGCATTCATTTACAACTATGCCACACAGAACAACTAATGCACAAGGAGTTAGAAGGCAGTTTTTTAAGAAAGGAAGAAAAACAGGACAGCCTCTTCTTTCCCGGGTACCTCTCTGGGCGGGTTCACACATCTTGCTCAGCCACGGGTTTACTGAACAAACCACGAGGGCTGGCTTCATTCCACAGGCAGTAAGCCCAAACGACCCGAACCACGTCAGGGGCTTAGCGCGTGAGTAACCTCTTTCGGCGGAGAGGCCGAAAGGCCCCACAAGCTAACCCAGAGATGCACGCGGCTACCGCCCCCAGCAGACCATCTCGGGATCGGGAGCCTCCACCTGAGCCATGGAGGAAGATCACAGAAGCCGTGTGCCTCCCCGCGGCGCTCACCGCTACCGCGCTCTTCTGCCCCACCGCCTGAGCAGCCATATCTGCAGCTTCCTCCGGCCGCAGGGGAAAAGGAGGGCCGCCATGGACAGCGCAGCCGAGTTTGGGAGGCGCGCAGAGCTGCTCGCCGCAAAGCGGATGGCGACTCCGCCTCCCACGGGTTCCGCCCGGCCCGCTCGGGAGGGGGGCGCGGAGCGGCCCCGGCGCCTGTTTGTCTGCGGGGGGGGGGGGGGGGGGGGG